ATGAGATATTTTAATAAAAATACTATCTCTTCTATATATTGATTATCTAAATTTAATTACTTTTAAATGTATATCTAAATTAAATATTTATTCCAATGTATAATTCTAATTTTACAAAAAAAATATCATAAAATAAAAAATATTATTACATTATAATATGAATGATTATTCTAATATATGAATTAACTATTTTTATTTTATTAAAAAGGAATCATTAAATAAAAAATATTGATTATATTATAATATGAATTGTCATTACAATTTTCAAACGTTATTATAAAGTCAAATTAAATTATTGATTTGAAATTTTAAATTAAATCATAATTAATCAGATCAGACCAGATCAGATCAGATCAGATCAGATCAGATCCAATCAGATCAGATCAGATCCAATCAGATCAGATCAGATCCAATCAGATCAGATCAGACCAGATCAGATCAGAACTTATTAGAATCAGATCAGATCAGAAAAAATAAGTTGAACGGAACGGAGCCTAAGTCATAATATCAATATATAATTAACTGTATATTAAAAAGACGTTACTCAGTATTCTTTTGTTCCTGATATATTAAAAAAACTATTTTAGACAAAAAAACAAAAATATTTAATTTGATAAATGAAGTTAAATCTTTTTCATTTTTTTATTTCAAACACAAACATTTTTTATTTTTTAAAATTTTTAAAAAATGTAGCTTTGAAAAAACAATTTTCTATTATTTCACACAAACATTTTTCTTGTGTTTATGAAAAAAGAAAAGAAAAACAATAAAGAAAAAGGAGAGGATGCATTGGCGCCTATTTCTAAAATCATAGGCGCATTGAAGTTATTTACCTAATATTATGAAGATAGTTTTATATAGAAGAACATTGACATAGCAAAATTAGAAACATGAGAAACAAGTCATGTAACCACCAAACCATAGAAATTAAGAGTACACATCTTATCTTACTCTATACAAACTATACAAAGAAAAAAAAGCAGGAACAGTGTTCCTGCGTAGCAGGGCAAACTATGGCTACAATATGAGGGGGGGCAAATAAAGGTGTGGGGCAGTACTGTGCCAACATTCATCCCATATAATTAAGAAATAGTACATTTGGTACAATACTTCACGTGTGTATAGGCATTCATCACAAATCGTCTAGCTTTTCCTTCTCTTATTTCTCATTCACCATTTCCATATTTCTTCTCATTCTTAGATTACTGAACTTCTTTTTCCCTGCCATCTACCTCTTTCAATTCCCTTGGCCCTTCAATAAGATCGATAGATCAGTGCAGAATTCAAATACCACTTCTTCAACCCTGTAAATACAAGATCAGTCATTCAACATACATACAACTTCAGCCAAATTCAGGTTTAACAAAAACTACATCATGTGTACTTTCCTTCTACATCTCCAATGCAAACAAACCAAGCCAAGAGGATGAAATTGATTAAAGTTGTATAGAGTTCACTTGAAGCTAATGTTTGAGATGCTTTGTTTGTAACTTTCATGTTATGAACTGGAGTGCAATGAATCATGAATGTTTTTTTCTTCATTTTTTGGTAGAACCAAGAAGTGATTTGTATTCAGTGTATTCAATGCTTAAAGTTAACTCCTAACATTCAGTGTATTCAAGGCTCTGGTCATATGCTCTTCCCTATATAATAATTGGTCATATGCTATTCCCTATTTAATGGAAAGCATTTCCCAATTTCACATTATCTCCTCTACCTCTATTCAACAAGAGAAAAATGCTTTCCAATGTATTTTTGAAGCTGTGTTTTTTCACTGTTTGTTTCACTTGAGCATGTCTCATCAGCGTACATAATTCTGCCTAATGACATTGAAAGGATATCAAGCCATGTTCAATGAATAGTAGTTGTACACTTGATGAGCCAAAATTTCACCATTTTTTGGCTTTGGAGTGTGATGGAATAAATCAAAATGGATCTCTAAACTGTCTGCGCTTCTTTAATTAATGAAGTAGCAGTTAGTCAAGCAATGCAACTTTCGACGTTGAGCCGGGGGTCTCTTTGGAAACAGCCTCTCTACTTTCAAGTAGGGGCAAGGTCTGCGTACACACACCCTCCCCAGACCCTACTCTTGTGGGATTTAACTGGGTTGTTGTTGTTGTTGATGAGTGGTAGAGATCGAAATAGGGGCTCTACCAATAGCAATCANGTACACTTGATGAGCCAAAATTTCACCATTTTTTGGCTTTGGAGTGTGATGGAATAAATCAAAATGGATCTCTAAACTGTCTGCGCTTCTTTAATTAATGAAGTAGCAGTTAGTCAAGCAATGCAACTTTCGACGTTGAGCCGGGGGTCTCTTTGGAAACAGCCTCTCTACTTTCAAGTAGGGGCAAGGTCTGCGTACACACACCCTCCCCAGACCCTACTCTTGTGGGATTTAACTGGGTTGTTGTTGTTGTTGATGAGTGGTAGAGATCGAAATAGGGGCTCTACCAATAGCAATCAGATGTACCCATGCATTGTTGTTACATCATAATATCAAATCATGTTTATTCTTTCACATAGCAATGGTCTACTTAATACCCCTTCACAGATTCAAAAATATTTTACCCTTTTACTTTTACTCCCAAAAGAATTGACTAATTAAATCTACAAATTCAAACTTTTATACGCTAAAAAATAGTTTAAAAGCATCCACCAGCTCCCAAAAATGCCAAAACATTTTTTTATGTTATCATATAACTTTGTTAAAGTATTCTAATAATTCTTTGAATCGAAATGTTCAATTCTAATTTTGTGTTAAAATTCACGCTTTCATTATTACACTGCAAGCAGTGTATTAATTCTATATATTATTTAAAATTTGGTTTGCAAATTCTTTTGTTGATAAATTTCTGAGCAGTAATTAAGTGTTTTCTTCTACTTAATTGAAAGAATTAAGTTGTTATAATCTAATATTGCTCAAAATATGTACACACTCACACATTGTATTATCTGTTCTACCAGAGTTACAGTGAATGAGATGGTCGTCCCATATTTTTACAGTTCCTATTAAGTTTGTTTGAATATTTTTTATTTGCAAAGGTCTAACTAAATTTAGGTAGTCTCTATCTCCTACCAAACCCTAGAATCACATGGATTAATACAAAGTACTCCGTATAAAAAAGGTACTCCATATGAATGCATCAAGATATTCTGAGTGAATTTAAATCAGTAGGACTAGGAGCAAGGTAAAAAGTACACTTGCAGTTGCATTTGATCTGACAAGTAAATGCACTGGATATGACTTAATTTTTTAATATTTAAACTGACAAGTACAATTTTGTTTTGTCATATGTTGGATGATCAATAAAACTTGCCTACTGATGGATGATTCAATGTATATGGATGATTTCAAATCACTACCAGCAAGGTAAAAAGCACATTGGCAATTGCATTTGATTAGAGAGGGAAATACACTGAATGTTCATACTCTTTTTACATTTGAACTGAGAGGGACAAGAGCATGTGTTCAACTAGCATATTTTCTATTGTCATAGGTTGGTTGTGGAAGGATGGTTTTATTCACCAAGTATGATTTAGGTAGTCTTAAGTTGGATGGTTTTATTGCTAATTTCAGTTTCAACAACTCATAAAATATTAAACAAAAATGATTTTCTTTTAAAAACAGAGGATATTAATTAGTGTTTGGATTTGCTTTGTTGTTTCAATGAAAAAGAAAAGCAGATTTTATAGAATTTTTATTTCTTAGCAATCATACATGTTGGCTTGAATTCACTGCTGTTAATTCTTAGCACTTCATTGCCTGCAAAAAAAAATGTGTTACAACAGCAAATACCCTATGAACTAACAAGGAAAGGGAATGAGATGAACTAACCTATATTCTTTTGCCACAAGTTGATACTTTTACACTCTGGGTAAATTTCACAAATGGTACCTGAACTTTAGCTGGAATTTCGAAGTAGTACCTGAATTTCAAATCCTTTCACAAAAATCCCTGAACTTACACAATCTTTTCACTAATGAGCCATTAGCCCGTTTCTAGGTTAACTTCCGGTCATTAGGGCCAAATTCGAATTTTATATATTTTAAAATTTTCAATTTGACCCCATTTCTTCTTTTCTTTTCTTCCACGCCCCGCCGCCGCCGCCCGCCGGTCAAAGTCGCCGGAAAATGAACTTTTTCCGATTCCGGCGGGACCAATGTCATTCTCTTCGTCTTGAGACGAGGATCAATAATATCCAAACCATTATGTCTAATTTGGCCTGTAACTTCTCGAATCTGAATTTTTCTACTCGAAAAAAATCCTAAAATTCGAAATTGGATCCAAAATTGGGGGT